TGAACACTGAAAAGCGGCAAATAAAGCTTTCTGTTCATTCATTCATTCATCATAGTATTTACACATGAATGTTGTACACATTTTACTATTTCTTTTCAACCCAGCAACAAAGAGTTTTGAAATATAAAAATTCTATGTTCACATCAACTGTATGACTTTCCATTTGTATACAATACATATAGTCAATACATTTATTGAGTTGTCTGTACAAGTCCAGAGTTATAATATTTTTTATTTAAAAAAATTGACACTCAACATCTATCAAATATAATAGGGCCCCAACAACACATATAGGTGCACAAAGATCCAGACATGCTGATTCATCCACAAGTTGAACTTGTAGAACATGCAGTGACATCTGCTGGACACTGTCTGAAAATATGGACACCACCATCATTTCTAAGATATGATTTTTAAAATGTTGATATCCCTTGAAAAAAATTGAGCAGCTTCCAAGGACCTAAAAATGCATGTGTATGGTGTCTGCCTATTGGATGGACTCATTTTCATATCTATGAAGGCATGTTATGTGTAAAGTTTTTTCTGCATGATTATGTTCTGTTACTCATGCAAAGTATAAGAAATGAATATTATTGGTGCTTTTGGAGAAAAATATAGTCAATCCCCAGAAAACAGTCTTAAATTGTGAACAGACTATAGACTGTGTGTTGTGTGAAAAATCTGCTTTGCAAATTCAATTCTTAAAAAATTAAAATGTTTACTCTTTACCAATGATTTTAAACCAACAGAAGTTTGTTATATGTAGATTTAGTCCATTGCAAGGGAGGGAAAACTGTGTCCAGAGGCAGTCTTTTGTGCAAAAATCTGTTGTGTGAGAGGTCTGTTGTGCAGGGTTCCACTGTATTCAATTTTTGACAAACAATGTAGGAGTGATTAAAAAGACTTTCATTAAATTGTTGCACATATGAGAAAATGTGATCCAACACCTAGACTTTTAAACATATGACAGCAACAGTCTAAAAGTAATTGAGCCTGCATCTCTGGACCCTACTGAATATAGACAGTAACTATATATATTTTTTACACATATGGTAAATTAGACTGGAAATTCCTGTTAGGGGCTAGGGATGACTGAAATTCAGAATGAAGAATTCATATATGGATAAATCCCCCTTCGCTGCAAGTAATGCAGGTGAACTCTCTCTACATTGATCTTGCCAAGAGCCATTTTCTGTATAAATACTTTTTTTGGTTCCATAGGGTTCTCTTCCCATGCCATAGTGGTTCTCTACAAAACATATGATCTCTAAAATTGTTTGTGGTCCCCTGCATTTTTTAGTAGAGAGAGTCCACCTGTATATGCATAAAAAACCTCCAGGAAATTTTGTATTCACTGGGCCTCTTGAATTTCCTTGGATGCCCAAAAAGGAAGAAAAAGAAACACTTGATGCATGCAGGTCATGAGTTCACTGACTCACAGCGGAATTTCTGGAGGCACAGGAAGACCCTGTTGGTCCCAGTTGACATTCAAACTCAGCCTCATTCAGAGGCTCTTGGATCCGTTATTCTTATTAGAATTTCTGTGATTTTTTTTTGGTGCAGGACCTGCTTTGTGAAATTTTGGTGACTAAAGATGAATTTACAAGTGTTAATTGACTGACTTCTGACATTTAAATGTTTTCAAAATATGAGGAAAACGTGTTTGTAGCGTTTCTCTTGTGTGTTGAAAAAGTACCTGGTGGTAGATCACAAGTCTTCAGGGCAATTCCAGATCAATTGAATTAGCTTCCACTGAATTAGGAAGTAGCATACTGTACAAGAATACAGTTTTCAAGTTTCTTGAATTTCCTGCAATTTCTTAATTTCAAAAACATGTACAGTAACTTCTATGCAATCTTTTTCAGGGGTGATAGTCAAGATTTAAGATTTAAGTGTCCGAATTTCTGTTGGCCTGGAAAATAAACACAGTTGAATAAACTTGATTAAATCTTCATGATAACTGGTAAAACCAGCAAAAATCCGGTCCCTATTTTTTCAATGTACTGATTTGTCACATGATCTGACACGAATTTTGAAGTTCACTGAATGCTGTAAATTAAATACTTGCTGTCTGAAATAGAGGAGCTACATAGAAAATTTTTCAAATCCCCAAGTATTTTCTGAGTTATGCCTTCTGCGACTTTCTATACTCAGTTTAGAAAAGTTGAAGCCTAATTAAAATTTTGAAAGGTAGTGGAACTTTGAATGATAAATCACCATGCTCTCTTTTAAAGCTTGAAGAAAAGAGATGACTTGTTCTTCCAAATTGATTATTGATTATTTCCTTACATATGCACAGTATATGTAAGGTACATACAGTACACGTTCTTCCCCTCCCCATCAATAGCAAAAATAGAATAGCAGTGATAAAAATTGCAGCAGAAGACAATTTTCAAACCCAAATTAAAGCACAAGGTGTTCAGCCTGCTCCCAGGTAAGTTTTAGTTGATTAAACAAATTGGAGAGAATCTTTGACGAGAAATTGCTTGAAGTTAATAGTCTATCTTGATCCTCCATGATTTTGGAAAAAGTCTCTTCATTAAATTGTAAAGTTCCAAATCTTTTAAAGATCATTTCTGTAGCTGTGGAAGGCTGTGAATAAAAAAGAAGGTTCTCTGGTGATGCATTTACCACTGTATTTATACTGCAGAAATTACATCACTTTTGCATACTTGGGAATTTGATAAATGTTTTATTAACCCTTGGACCAGAGAGGGTTATTTTTCATTGTGCGCTCAAGTTGGGATTTTTTCAGGGGGCAGCAGTGCATTTCAGTTTGATCCAAGGTCACTGAAATCCTCCCAAAATGAGAAAGCTTAAGTAGGGAAAAATCTGGGAGGAAATTTTTTTATTGCTTTCTGGATCTTCCCATGCAAAGCCCATGCCAGGCATGCAAGAAAAAACACCACCCAGTGAGGGATTTTTTTCCTTAAAATTATAAAAAAAAATATCCAGGATTAGAAAAAAATATCCAAATTTTTCTGGACTCAGGCCTTGGTACAAAAGCAGGATTTTTTAAATTGCCAGTGCACACTGTGGCACAAAATGTTGCAAAAGTATCCCAACTTTGGTGCACAAAGGTTAAAACATCAGCAGCAGAGGCATATCTCCTGCTTTACATTTTACAGTTGCCCTCCACACAATGGAATTAATTTGTGAAACAGACTAGTCTGTGGTGTGAAAAGTCTGTTATGCAAATTCCTTTATTTGAAAATTACAATTTTTAATTTTTAAAATCAATTTTACGCCAACAAAAGTCTGTTATGCAGACTTTGTCCATTGCGCTGCAGGAGGGAAAACTGCCTCATAGGCAGTCTTGTGCAAAAATATGTTGTGCGGGATGTCTGTTGTGTGGGGGGCAACTGTACAGTATGTTGATTGGTTGGAACTTGGAAGTGAATTCAAAATTTTTTTTTTTTAAATCAGAATAGAATATGCGGTTTTTATATGCATTAATTCTCTTGCAGATGCACCAACAAATCCTTTTGGCCCTACTTGGCCTAACAATAGTTGTAGCAGTAGGACTACCAGCAGTAGTTGGGACAGGACTACCAATGGGTGATGCAGACTTTGATGAGGATTCAGTGCCTCCTCCTCCTGCACCTCGACCAGTGCTCAGGATCAAGACACAAAAGGGCAACAACTTTTCGCCATTTTTCAGGGGATACAATCGGAAACCCAGGACAACTGTAGCCCCTGTACTGCAATACTACAGGGAACAACACACAAAACGAGTGGATGGCATGTCTGTTGCTGATTTCTGGGGCTTGCTTAAGTCCTACTTTTCGCACAAGTTCTCAGCGAATCCTTTTCGCACATCACAAGACGTATTACCATTGGCAACTATTTCTTGACAAAAATATCTGAAATACAAAAACTTATTCATACAACCTATAGTTTGAATTTATTCTAAGCATGAAAGTTTCCTATTTCTGCATTTCAACAAGGTGATGGGACAAATGGAGCCCTGGCAGCATATGGACACACCAGTCCATGTGGACAATTTGATTTATGGACACTTGAACACAAAAAGCAGGTCTTGAAATTTTTCTCAAGAAATTGAAACTTTAGCCAACGTTTCCAAAAGAATGGAAAAATTCTTCAAAATCTTGATAAGGTATCTCTTGAACAACTTGATTCACTGCATACTGGTCAAAAAGTGAGAATAAATCCTCTTAAAATTTATTCTAATATGCATCAGAACAGGATAATACCATATTTACTTGAGTACCACGCGCCCTCAAGTAAGGCACGCACAGGGGTTTTTCAGTTGAAAATTTTGCAAAAAGCTTATCCCCAAGTAAGATGCACACCCCAATTTTCAGTGAATCTAAAACCATAAAATTTCAAAAAATAAAAACAAAAAATTTGACTTTAGGCGTGAATTGAACAAAAATCTGATGAATTTTCAACTTTTTCAATACAAAAATGTTTTCTTGTTATACTTGTTCCAATTTTCTCCATTCTAATCAAGTATAATGCAAATGTAACTTCCTAAAATGTCTTGAAAATTTTTTACCCGCTTATGACGCGCACCACTTTTTTCTTCTGAAATTTGGGAAAAAAAGGTACAAGTGGTACTCGAGTAAATACAGTAATTCATCACTTATGTTGATTTTGGGGATGTTTCCCATCAATAGTTCAGCAATACATTATATGTGTACTACTTGTTTATTCACCTGTTGGACTCCCTCTCATGTCAGAAGAGCAGAATTTTGTGTGGTTTTCTTCAAAGTTTTTTTCTGTATTTCAAAGTGGAAAGAAACACTTTTTTTTAACTTTAAAGGATATTTTAACATTTTTTGACTATACAGTAACATGCTATTTGACCTCCAGCAATTTGACCATCCCACATTTCAATAGTTGAATTTGCTGGGAGGTCAGCTCTCAATTAAACCCGTGCTGCGCAATTTCAACCTTTGGAGAGAATAAAATGTTAAATTCCATGTAGAAAACATGCCATTTGAAATTGTCTTGCAATTCAACAACTTTGCAATTGACCCTAGCCCAGCAACAGATTAGGGTTGAATTGTGAGGTACCACCTGTAACATGAAAAATCATATTAAATGTTCCATTTTCAATCTGTCTGGGGATATTTTGACTGATGTGCATATACTGTACATTCCAATATACGGACAAAGTTTTAAAATTTATTGTAAAAATGGCTGAAATGGGTTCACAGAGCTGCTTATACTGATATTAAGACCATCACTGATTCAATGACAGTGCTAATAAAACATGCATGAACATGATTTATTTTTTGTCAGCATTCAGAGAAAAAGACCTTGTATTTCCACTATACACTGACAAAATAAGTGGATATAAACCAGTGGAAGACTGTTAGCATTGTTATTTCCTGGATGGAACCAGTGGAGATGCAGAGCCAGAAGACATAACAGTTGTGGATGATGTATCATAATTGGTGTAATTTGCAATGGTAACAGCATTCCCGTTGTCCAATGTGGTGTTATTATTGTCAGCCTGATGATGAGTCACAATGCTGTTGATGCTGGTGAAGGCCATGCTGGCAGCAGCAGCTGATGGATCCATTGTTGGGGAGGTGGTGTCTGATGATACTACTGCAGCAATGTCTTTAGTGTCAGTGCTGACATTGAGCTGGGAACCCATGGGACCACTGGAGCGTGCAAAGGTTCCACTTTCTTGGGAAATGGGGATGGGTTGCTTGGGTCCTATTGGCTTGATCTATTTTGTGCAGTCAGCATGCACAAGATGAGAGGAGGGAGAGGTAGATAAGTATGTGAGACCCAAGTACATGTGTTCCAGCCCAAGTAGGAAAATATTCAAACCTATTTCTCATCAAGCACTTCCCAGGGTTTTAAATAGTCTAATTTATTAAGTTCATGTGTGAGTAAAGATCAATTTTATTCCAACTCATGCTGTGAAACTGTAACACTGTGTCCCTGATGGAAACCATAAACCAATCCTCACATGAAAAAAATATATCGTCTTTTTTTTTAATGAAAACCATGAGCTTTTCAGACTCTTGGCTATAACAAACACACTGATGTGTCTTTGATTAAAAATTGGAATGCAATTGAAACCTTAAACTTCACTATAATGAAATTTTAAAAACTGGGGAAAACCCACAAAAAATCAACTTGGTAACATGAGTCTCTTCATCAAAGTTGTTTTTCTGCATTGATATTTTTAAAAATTGAATCGTGTCCAAATTTCTGTAGAAGCCTCTGAAAATTTTTGTCTCATAGTGGGATCTCAACAACAACAACAACAAAAACCTCTCTGCAGCAAATTTTACTTTAGCCCCTTTCAGAAGTCCCAAGACTCTATCCTTCCAAATCTTTCAATGAGAGATAAAAATGTAATTTGATGCATTTCAAAAGGAAGTGATGGAGTGACTATAATATTGGGCAAATGTGCCTTTTTCTTTAGGTTCAGCATCCCCTAAAATCAAGTATACCCAGCATTTTAAGACTGAAAACAAAATCATTATTTGTACTTTTTGCGCTTCAACTGTTCCAACGCTTTCCTAAGAAAACAATTCTTTGGTTTGCACTCACTCAGAAACTCGTCCCCGAGCTAAAGTTGCAATTTTTTTTTGGGTCCCATGAGCTTGATTCTGTATGAGGACATTTTGTTGGACTTATTTTGCGTGTGAATTGACAAAAAGTAAAAATCGGGGGGAAGGGGGATGAATTGATCGAGGTCATGATTCGTCTTTTGGTCTGAAATTATTTTCCTACTCGGGACGGGGCTTACAGTGTTTTAACCTGCTTCATGTTACTTGGCCGGTTCCCAGAGATGAAGTTCAGTGCCGGAGGGTAAAAGGACTTGAGTTTCCTGAGCTTCTCAATGTTGGACGCGGGTTTCCGGTCGGGAAACCTGACCTGGACCAGTCGAGAAGACCCTAGTCTGGACCCGAACCTTACTTTGGGCGTCAAGAACCTGGTGCCATTATTATTGCTGCTGCTGCTGCTGTGCATGTTATTGTAAGATGATGATTGCTGATGAGACAATAAGGTGTTTGTGCTGGGACGGGGTCCAATGTGTTTGGCAACACTGATGTCAGCTGCTGATGGAGATTTGCTCATGACCTGCTGCTGCAGGCCTTGAGCAGTGTCAGAAGGTGCCTTGTTGTTGTTATTGCTGCTTTTGGTGTCCAAGGTGGGGGATGCTGATAATGGAGGCTGTTGTTCTGCTTCTGGTTGTTGTTGTTGCTGTTGTTCTGGTTGTGATGATGGGCAGTAGTTTTGTGGCTGCTGCACGCGAGACTGCTGCTGCTGACTGTCATCTTCCACCATTGGTGGTGGTGGTGGCAATGGTTGTTGTTCCTGGCTCACTCCAGTAGGGTCTTCTTGCATGGGTTGTCCAGGAGCTCCTGCAAAACAAAATATAATACAGTATGTAACCCAGGAACCAAATTGCAATTATTTTCTTTTCTCCTTATTTGGAAGGAGATCCTTCTCAACAAGGTATTTGTTTCCTTGCAGCTGTTCCCCTTTTGTTTTGGTTCCCCATCTCTAACGTCAGCCCGCATTAATGCATGACGGTTGTTATTGCGCATTTTCCTTTTAATATTCAAGTGTCTCTTAAGAAATAATAATTTAACAATTGCATACATTTGTATATATGTGTTTTTATTTGTGAAATGTAGGTAAAGATTTTACTCATGCTATAATTTAGAGAACANATTCCAATTCCACTCTTTCTGTGAATGATGGGAGTGGTTACTGTTCCAGTTGAAGCTTTTGGCCTTCACTATAGATTAATAATCTACAGTGTGCCCCTCCCTTTGCTGCATAGCCTTCATCTAGGATAGATGCAATGATACTTCATTGTATTTTTTGTGTCCTATATTATGTCCAGTAATTCATCAGTTCCACCTTGGAGTCAGGAATTGGGAACATAGGTGTGCCCTCTTCCAGATTTCCTCTTTCCCTATTTATATAATTGTAGTGGAGAAGACACATGGATAAATTGGTTTACTGGATCAAGAGTTTCTCACTTGTGTTCTCTAAATTATAGCATGAGTAAAATCTTTACCTACATTTCACAAATAAAAACACATATATACAAATGTATGCAATTGTTAAATTATTATTTCTTAAGAGACACTTGAATATTAAAAGGAAAATACACTTGACCAATTGGCTTCTAGAATCATGAGTTTGTGGCTTTTGTTGTCTGAAAAATATTGCATGATTTTTGAATATACAGTATATGTGTTTGAACAGACCCTCTTCCCCTATAGCATAAATACTTTGTAATACAAAATAAAATACATCATCAGTTATTAAAAACATTCTTTGAGCACAAAGCCTGCCTGCTATGGGATGGGTTTCTCATAGTTTGCAATGCCCAACACCTTCCTAACCTTACAATACCTGAGAAAACAATAAAGTTCAAAACACATTCAATATCACATAACAGTCACACAATTAGTTTGAAGTTTGAAGAATTTTGCTTGGTATTCTTTTTGAAATGGTTCAACTCAAACTTTTACATTAGATATTTAATCATTTCTTAAGGTAATCTTTCATATTTGATACATGTCAGTAGCTTTATTCAGCTCAGGAGCGGGAGCAGAATTTCAGCCATAATAACTGTGATAACTGGTCAAAGTATGCATTCAAATTTACAGAAAAATGGCAACTTTTAGTAGGACAACAAACATGTACTATTTAAGCAATTTAATCAAGTACTACAAGCATAATATTGTTTTCAGAGCACTTCTTGTGCTTGAAAATCAGCCAAGAAGACAAGTTCCTCTTACTGGAAGGGATCAATGATTTTTGTTCATGAAGGAAATTGAAGAATGGAACATGAGAAAATGACACTGTAGAAAATAACCTGAAAATTGAATAATTTGAAAAGTAGCTCAAACAGCACATTTTCCATATGAAAAAATAAGAAGGAAAAAACCTTGGGAAGATTCCTTGGACTGTTCCATTTCTGCAGGGTTTTCAGGGCCTTCATATCCTTCCCTTGCTTGGGTTCCATACTGAAGGTTAGGCCCTGAAGCCTGTTCATCACTAGTCTGCTGAGCACTATTAGGCATTGGTTGCTGAGGAGCAGCTGCTGGAAGTGGTGCAGGCAGTGGTCTTTCTAACCTTGGCTTATGATGAAACCTTCCAAATGGTCTACCACTGTTCACCCTGTCAGTCAATAAAAACCAAGAAAAGGAGCAAATTAGGAACAACAGGCTTCAACAAGGCCCCCTTCTCCCTATTATGCTGTATGTCAATGACAATAAATATTGCATACAATTTTCAATGATAATTTTCCAGAAGAAAGGTATATACATATTTCAAACAATTAAAAAAGTGCAATTGTGCAAAAGGCAATGGAATTTTTCCATCCTGGTTTGAAGTTCATAATTTAAAAATGCACTAACCAGGTTAATTGAAAGCTCATGGAATGGTTTATTCATGCCAGATTATATTGAAATTCCCTCTGATAATTCTGGGCTCATTCCATTTATTATATACTGTGTACTCAATATAAAGTGGAGTAAACTGATGAATAAACAAGCTTTATTAGCTGCTTGTCAGCGTTCTCAAGGTTTAAAAAATTGGTTTATCATACAAAATAATCCAAATCATCCAAACTCCCAACTATAAGGCAGTAATCAAAGTGGAAATACATCAGCACTCATGCCCTAATGAAAATATTTGCTTTATGTATAGCACTTATTTAATCATTAATACAGTATAAAATTATTTTTATTTTTTGTAACACTCATCCTGGTGGTCAAATAATTTTCCATGATAATTGAAACTTTCAGAATGATAATTCATGTGAATGTGAATCAGATGTTCTCCTCTTTACCATAAATTAAAACAAAATGAAGGTGAATTTGAAAAAGAAAACAAACCTTGGTCTTGCAGCATAAGATGTCCGCCTGTCCATGCTGAGAGCACTGCCACCACACAGACTCCCTGAGGAAACCTGTTGATAATGTGGAACAGCCTGCTGC